CACACTGGTGCGGCTTTCCTGAGAGGTGGGGAGGGGGGGGTGTCTTTCATCACCCAGGTTTTGGGGCAGAGGTTGGGCTCTGCAGAGGTGATTCAAGCAGAAGGTGATCTGGGGGTGACTCCAGGCCTGGGTTTCTGTGACTTTGTGGCCCATCTCCTACGGAACCACGATGGCCCTTCCCGGCAGGCAGCCGGGGTGGGGATCTCCCTCCCAGGAGATCCCCGTCCGTTCCCCACCAGCCCCTGGTCCAAGAATCTCCCGCCGTGCCCCCGGTGATGGCGACTGTGCTGGCACCTGCAGGTGGCCCGGGAGCACAGAGAAGTGGGGACTGTGCACCAGCCAGAAGCAACTTGCTTACGAGCTCAGTCCCCAAGTTCAGAGGGGGCCCTGGTGCCTGCCGTCCCAAAGGGGAACAGCTGCAGTGGGGGAGCCCAGGGTCCCTCTCACATGTGCCCGCCGTGGGGCTTGTCTGGCGACCGCTCAGCCCTTCCCCACCTGTCCCCTCAGGTCTTTGCGTTGATCGTGTTCTCGTGCATTTTCGGCGAGGGCTACAGCAACACCCACCAGTCCCAACAGAAATACTGCGTGTTCAACCACAACGAGGACGCGTGCGGCTACGGCAGCGCCATTGGGGTGCTAGCCTTCCTGGCCTCGGCCGCCTTCCTAGTGGTTGACGCCTATTTCCCCCAGATCAGCAACGCCACTGACCGCAAATACCTGGTCATCAGCGACCTGCTCTTCTCAGGTACCTTCCAGCGGGACCCCCAGTTGACTTGGGGGAGGTGAATAGGAGTGTTCCTAAGAGGGTTCTGGGATGGCAGGGCCTCGGCAACCTCAGGGGGAACCGAGGGCAGCCCCTACCCAAGCAGACCGGCTTGCACACAGGGATTTCTGTGAGTCTGCTTAAGCCCACCGGCGTTGAGTGACAATCACGGGACCTTCGAGCCAGGCACCCAGGTCGCCACCCTGGCTTCCGCATCAGTGCCCTTCACACTCCTGGAGGCTTCTGGGAGATCCCTGCCACAGGGCCTCGCCATCGCCGCCCCCACAGGGGGCCCCTCCTGGGTCCCCAGACCGCCCCTGCCTCCATGGAAGTGACCTTGCCCTTCCGGCCTTCTTCCCAGCTTTCTGGACTTTCCTGTGGTTCGTTGGTTTCTGCTTCCTCACCAACCAGTGGGTGGCCACCAAGGCGGAAGACGTGCTAGTGGGGGCCGACTCGGCCCGGGCAGCCATCACCTTCAGCTTCTTCTCCATCTTCTCCTGGGTAGGTGGGCCGGGGCGGGCAGGGGTGCAGTGTCTTTGGAGAAGGGTGGCGGAAGGCTGAGGAACCCAAACCTCGGGGCTCCCTGCAGGGCGTGCTGGCCTCCCTGGCCTACCAGCGCTACAAGGCCGGCGTGGACGACTTCATCCAGAACTACGTGGACCCCACTCCAGACCCCGGCACCGCCTACGCCTCCTACCCTGGTGCGTCTGTGGACAACTACCAACAACCGCCCTTCACCCAGAACGCTGAGACCACGGAGGGCTACCAGCCGCCCCCTGTGTACTGAGCTGCGGCCGGAACGGTCAGGGGAGCAGAGAGGGCGCTCGGGGGCCTTCGCTCTATGCTGGACTCCTCCCGTGAGCTTCGCCTCCTGGAGCTGCGGCCCCCTCACCCTGCCGGGTCCCCGTCGGAGCCGCGCACGGCCTGGAGAGCCCCCGCTTCCCCTGCCCTGGCTGCCGGGCTCCCTCTAGCAAGGGCTTCGCCCACCCACTCCTCAAGGGCATTTTTTAGAAAAGGGTTTTTAGCCAGATGTGTTTTGTCATTGCTTTTAATGATCCCCAACCCCAGTTGGAATAGCTAGAAGTGCCCGACACGCTGCTTTGACAAGTGCCTTAGCTTCTCCCCAGCCCAAAGGAGCCGGGCCCAGGTCCAGGACCTGGGCCCTGGTGGCCACGGTTACTCGGGGTTCTGTGCCAAAGAGGAGACTGTGGGGCCAGGGCCCCCTTTCCTGCTCACTCAGGTTTGTTCCCCACCTCCTGGCGCTGCTGTGTCCCCAGCCCCCTGCCTGCCCTGGGAGCCAGCAGCCCCGTGCTCACTGCTGTAGCATCTGCTTGCTCTTGGATCTAGGGTCATTGCCCCATGCCAGTGCCTCCGGACTGCCTGCCTGCCTGCCGGCCTGCCAGCCGTGGCGCTGGATGCCCACCCCAGGGGGCACCGGGAGGCATTCCCTCCGCCTTGCTCCCAGCCCTTGGCAACCGGGAGGGGCTTTGCCTGCCGGAAAACACCCAGCTTTATGTAAATACTCTGCCACTGTGAGGTGTGGGGTGTATCCACAGCCCCTGGGCTGTTTTGAATGTATTAAAAAGCCTTGGGGGTAAGATGCAGACCCTTGGTTCTGTTAGACTGATTTGAAGACGGAATAAATGTTTTTCTCGTTCATAATCTCCAGGGTCATCAGTTGGGCCTCAGCCCAGGGGTTGGAGAGAGATTCCACTCTGGGGTGCACCCTGGGAGGGGGCTGCTTTATGAACTTGCATTTTGAAGTCACGGCAGTGTGCCCCTCCAGCACGCCCAGCGCGCGCGCGCGCACTTGTCTGGGGTCTCATTCCTCACACTGCCGTCCAACAGCATCTTAAAATAGCAACTGTGCTCAGCTTGTAAACAAGACAGTCTTTCTGGACTGCCTTGCCAGGGCCCTGCTGTGCCCTTGCTGGAGTTGGGGTGGGGGCCCCTGGGAGCGGACCCTGCGCGGTAACCCTTTCCTTCCCAACCCTCTTAGCAGAGTGTGGAGTGATCCGGCATTGCCCAGAGGCCTCCACTTCTAGCAGACAGGGGTCCGCACGTCTGGAGCCCTTCCTGGGATGGCCCACCCTGAGGGAGTGAGCCCATCTCTAGCAGGAAAGGCCAGGGCCCCTGAAGCACCTCACTTCCCTTTTGGAGCAGAGACAGCAAGAACTGTCAAAAGTGGGCCTGTTAGTTTCAAAATCGAGTAGACACTCATAGGGTTCTGCAAATGCCTCACTGTAATTCGGGACCAGTCACTAGCAAGCCAGAATAGAGCAAAGGGGAGGGGCAGGCCAGGGCGAGGAGGCCACCCCAGAACCCCCATCCCATCTCCACTGGTGGGTACACCCAACCCCAGAAGGTTCTGGCCTCCACGCAAGCCACTGACGGCCCATGTTACAAGGTACAGCTGAGCTAGTCTTCTGGGCTCCTGAACTATCAAGTGTCTGTTTCACAAACAAAACCTGACCCCACAGCCCCAGCGGGCAGCCCCGAGTATAGCCTTGTCTTTCCGTCCCGGGCCCCAGCCTCCTCCGTCCACCCATTTTGTCCTAAACCTGTCCAGACAGGAGAGCAAGTAAATGTGCCTCTTGGGATGCGCTTCGCGGCGCTTCTCAGTTAAAGTGTTGTGGCTAAGAGACCAGCAGGTAGTGCTAAAAAAGATCTGGAAAGAAATCCCCACCCATGGTCCCATCAGAGCTGTCGACAGGGAGACCCAGGGCATCCCAGGCTGTTAAAGACACATATGCTCCCACCAACCAGTAAATTTTAATATTAGTTATTAATTTCACACACAACAGAATCAGAGACCCTGTCCCCAGCTACCTCTGCCCCTACC